AAGAATAATCATAAAAACATTAGAACAATGATCAATGATATTATCGCCATTTATATTAACATTTTTTTGCTCGTATTTATGGACTTAATAAATCTTCTTCGCTAATGTATTCATCATGATTCAAATCAATACTCATATTTCATTCAATATGATTCATCAAAACATTTATTTATAAAAATTAAGCAATGTATGAATAGATTGACACATTTGCGACGAGAAAAATACATGTCAGATATTCTCGAAATAGTTACTCATCATTTTTTGTTTTCGTTTTTTGCTTTCAAATATGATGAAAAAGTAAATTCAGGTAATAGCATATCTACCTTAATATGTATTTACTTATACAAAAAATTTTATGGATGAATGATTTATAATAGTCTCATCATGATCATGCACAACATGAAGATGAATAAGACATGTTTACTCAAATCATTGATTGCTTTGAATGTATAATATTTAAAGAAATGTAGGAAACATTTCTGATGCATGAAAAGTAATGTTTTTAACTGATACAATAGATCATCATAAAATATAAAGAATTAAAGAACAATATTCATGATAGAAGAGTAATATTGTATCATGGGTTTAAATCATCGTTGAGTAGCTCCATTTTTTAAGAATTTAATGCTGAACATTCATTCAATTAGACAATCTTGAAAATTTTTGATGAACTTCTAGTCAATTAGCTATAGTTTTAATAACATATATTTATGTATTATTTTGGATGTACAGTACATTTTAGTGCTCAAAAGAACTAGTGTAGTACACACACACAATAGCACTTATATAATCCATATGATAGGTTTATTCCAATACTATCGGTATGCCTGCAATAGATTTCTAATCAAAGCACAATTATCGATAAATCGTGGTAGAATCGCGATAGCATCGTGCAATCCGACCGAGTTCTCGGTATTCGACATAGCAATTAATGAGATTTCGACCTTTCAAAATATTTTTACTTCTTCAAACTGCTATTTATATAAAAGCATTGAAGTGAAAACCCGTTTGCTCATGATTGAACAATTTATTATGTTTGAGAATGAATCACAGAAATGGAAAGCTGCATTCTTTTAATAAAAAGAATTCAATTTTAATAGAAACTCATCTACACATTATGCGAAACCATATGACGAAATAACTAAACACATGAGGAGAAAAATGAATTGTCAAAAACGATGAACATGTATGACCGTGATGAAAAAAAAAACATTTATGTATGTATCTACAGTTATGACGTTTGGCACCAACACTGCATTCTATTTTTTTGTAGAACTTGAAATGATCTCTTCTTTTTCTTACTGTTTATATGGAAAAAACTAAATCAATATACTTTTTTCTTTATATAAAATAAAATTTTGAAAACCCTACTGTGACTATGAAAATATCTACTAAATATCGATTACCTCCGGTTCGCATCCGTGTATAAAATGATCCGATCCGATTGCGAAAAAGTCGTACGTATGCAAGAATTTATTCACGGTTTTTCTCCGATTTGAATTAGATAGAAATAAATAATAGACAACAATAGATCATAAATCTATTTCATATTGAATAGTCGATAAAAAAATTGCTAAATGAGTTGCTTAACAAGACGAATAAATTCTAGACAGATAGAAAAACTTTATCTTTTATTGAAGAGATAAAAGTTCTCGAATATAGTGTGTATGTTTTCTAATGACATCTGCTAAAGCCATCTATATATGATTTAAAATAGCCAATGAAAACAATCGTGTAGATTTATCATTTCTCGTATCGTGTATGTAACTAAATATTATTATCACGCAAGAAACATATATCAATGAGTAACAAACAAAACTGGAGTAGATCAACAATGTTGTCGAACTCAAATTGCTGGGTCTATTCTTACATTTAAGTGTAAAGTGTCGATTAACAGAATCAATAGAATAAGCCGATTACTATTATTATCATTTCTTTTTCGATTTGCTTTTACAGAATGTTAAAAATTTATCATTGATTCATCAACAAAACTATATAATTTGTACGTGCTAGGTTTTGGTTTTAATTCATTAGAAATTTGATCTCAACTTTGTTGTTTGATTCTGTTCTATTTTTCTGACCCTGGCATTTATGTTTCTTGTGTTCTGTAAGTGTAAAGAACAGCATGGAAGCCAGTACATAGAAAAAAGATGTGAGAAAAACTCGTATATAGAATACTTACTATCTTGACAACTAACATCAATTGATCGTTACGTAGGAGCATGTACGCATTCCACGCAATGTGTAGGATGCATAGAATAAATTCGACAATGTAGTTTTTCCTTTCTTTGATAAATATCTGTTGATATAGATAAAAGAACACATTAACATAGTAGAAGTGATCAAAAGTTCAGTAAAAAAAAACAAAGGTCAATAATAAGAAATTCTGTTATTCATCTAGAAAATGCCGATAGTAGGCACTTTAAAAATATTAATATATATATAATGGCATTTAATAATAATAACAATACTATCAATGAAATATCAATAATGAAAGAAGATGATAATTCACAACAACGAATTAATGAACAATCATTAAGACAAGATCTTGAAAAAAATCGTGAATGTAAGTAAATTTTTAAATTTATTTTCTTTATTTTAATTATTTTTTGTTTTCAAATAGCACTTAAACGAAAATTACAAACACGTCGATCTTTACAACAACTTGTTGATGTTGGTATTTTGCCAACACCTAAAGTTTCATTACCATTTTATCAACAACGTAAACAATTACAAATGCGAAAAGTATTTTTAACAAAAAAAAGAAACAAATATTGATTTCAAAAAACTTATATTTCTTCTAGACAAAAGATATATTAAAAAATAAAATACTTTTTCGACCTGATCGACAATTATTAATTGAACATAATATTCTATCTGATACAACAGCTGCACCAGCTATACAACAAACACAATGTCAATTAAAACGTGCACGTTTAGTTGATAATCTTAATAATAAATTATCTGTACGTCCTGGTATATTAGAATTAGTAGCAAATAATATAGTTGAAATTGATTCAAATCTTAAACAAGCTATACAAAATGGAAATATTCAATATCCAAGTTTATCACGACCACTTCATCATAAAACATCATCATTTTCAAATACACCAATATTTAAACGTTCATTAAGTTCAATACCAAAATCAAAATCATGTTTAACATTTCATGAATATAAAGGACCATCACAAAAAGTTGAAATAACCAAAGTTCCTTTACAATCAACAATAAAAAACTTAGAACATAATCGTATATCAAGTGAAAATCATTATAAAATTCAATTACGACAACAACAATTATTTCTTGAACTTATTCATAATAATAAATCAATAGAAAATCAAAATAATTCAATAGAAAATTTTTTACAACAATCAATCGATAATACTCTATTATCAGTATATAATGATAATCAATCATTGGAAACAATGAAATTAGCTGATTTAAAAAATGAATGTAAAAAATTAAATATTAGTTCAACTGGTACTAAAATGAAATTAATTGAAAAATTAAAAAATGCTCGAATGAAAATGACAGGTAAAAAACAAAAAATTATCAATAATAAAAAGAAAATCAATTGAAATTTTTTTTCAAAATATTTCTCATTTGTTTGTTTTAGAGAAAACAATTGTTTCATCTTCTCAGACGATCAATAATGAACCATCATCTCCTGTTAAATTTTTATGTAAGAAATCAACATAAAGATTAAGAATTCTTATTGAACAAGATCTTTGCATTTATTTTAGTATCATCATCATCATTAAATGATCAAGAATTTTACCAACAACAACAGAAATTAGTTGACGTAGAAAATCAATTAGAAAAATTAAAACAATATGATTGTTCTTTATTATATCAAAATCAATTATCTTCAAATTTTCAATCTATAGATAATTCTACCATTGTAATAAAACATAAAATAAAAATCTTAATTCTTAAATTTTTCTTTGTTTTTAGATTCCACAAAGTTGTGAGTCTATTCTATCAACACAAATACAAAATCGTATGAATAATTCTTATTGAAATCAATTAATTATTTTTTTTTGTTTTATAGAAATTCTTTTACAACAACAAGAAAAATCAAAACAAAATCTTCAACAACATACAATCGTACCTCTAACACCTGAATCTGTAGCACAATATCTTCTTGCTCAATCACAAACGTCAGATAATCATTCATTATTAACATATCATTTTAATAATTCTTCATCAATGCAATCATTTACAAATCCATCAGTATGATATTTATTTGAATTTCAATAAAAAAAAGAAAATTTTTCTTTTTTAATAGACAATTAATGATGTTAATTTTAATCTATTGGATGATTATATTGGTAAGAAAATGAGAAATTTGGATATAGTTTTATAAGATTTCCAAAAAAAAAAAGAAAATATTTTTTTTCATTTCTATTTTTATTTAGATTCATCTTCAACATTAACATTTCCGTCCGATGATTCAAATTCAAATAATACATTTCCATCATCTATAACAGATATGGATTGGATGGCGATTCCATCTCCTAGTTTAATTGATAATAATCTAGATTTTACACAATTTCTTAATCAACTTGATAATGATCATCATCATCATCATCTTCTTTTTGATTCAACATCTCAACAACAACAAAATTCACTTTTATCCGATCTTTTTTCTGCATCAAATCCAATGTTTTAATATAAATCTTTTTATATGTGTATGTAGGTATGTGACAATTTCGTATATTTTTTCAATAAGTTGGTTATATACATGGCTTTCTATGGTAACAAGTCGAGTGAAAATATTTGCTTTGAGAAAGTTGAACATTAAGATATTGTAAAAAAAAAAAAACCTGATTGGCATTTAGCCATTGGTGAAATTCATATAAATTAATTGTTCTGCTGCATGTGAAAAAATATTTTATCGTGTATATTTTTAATAAAAATGTTATCTTTAAATATATTGACATATTTTTTTTTTAATATATTTTATGTTTGAATTCATTCGTAAAAAGTGATAGAAATGTTTAATCAGTTAGAAAACGTTTATGCTTTCGTTTTCTTTTAGTATGTAATGGTTCATAAGGACGTATTATTGGATTCTTCATTTCTGTATGAGGTGAAAAACCAAATGGACCAACATTCATTTGATGAACACGATATTTTAAAAAATCTTGTCCATGATTAATAATTAAATCTGGATCATCAAAAATGTCATTTGCATCAAACCCATGTGCTTCCATTTGAAACCATGTCGAACCACGTAATGAAGTTTTTCCAAATAGTAATTGATGATCTCGAAAATTAATGCCATATTGTTGTAAAGGCACGTCGCGATAATGAGACGAAAAACGTGGATGAGCTGATGATGATTGCGACCATGTATTATATAAATGACCATGATCGAGTGTAACGACATGAGAACCTTGCCATAGATCGACCTAGAAAGAGAACAAAAAAAAACTAAAATAATAATCTGATTTTTCATCTTTAAAGAAACTTACTAAAGTAACACTAGTTTCAGTTATAAGACGATGAAGAAATTTCTGTTTAACTGGAGAAAGATTTAAGTCTCGAACATTTTGTTGAATTTCATATGTACGACGATGAAATTCTTCTCGTGTTGACGGATATGGATGATCATCGAGAACTAGAGATATGACACTATAAAGAGGTCGTAAAACTGGATCATTTTGAGCAATAGTTGTTGGTAAACGAAAAAATCGATCATGACGAGATGAGGCTTTTTGTTTTGATATTGAAAAGGAATGAATATGTGGGAGACGAAGATCTTGATGAGGATAATGTGTCATTGTTATTATAAATATATATTGCTTATTACTAAAAATGCATACTCGATCAGTAAAATATACCTTTAGAAAACATAAAACGAAGTTATGCGCAATATGTGTCAATCACCGTCAATCGTGACAGTGGGTGCAGTACAACTAATGAATAATATTAATGTTTTTGCAATCTATAATTATTTATGATAATGAGGAAGAAGAAACGTTCTATTCATATTTCAATTACCATAAAAATGAATAACCAGACTTCAGATACAAATAATATGTGTTTTTTTTTTATGAGTCAATGTTGATTTGTATTCTTCATTGACAAATTTTTTGAAAAAGATCAGTATAATTAATAATTATTTTCATCGAATAAGCTAGACATTTACAGTCTTTATATGAAAACTAGATGAAATTTTGTTGAATCATAAAACACGTTAGATTAATTTTCTTATAAGTATCATTTTATGAGCTATCGATGTTCGAGAAAGTTATTTAATTCGAAATCAATTTATCACATATATTTTCTCGTAAATTTAGTCGAATGAAGATTATATTAATAGAACAATTTTGTCATGAACAGACGTTGTTTGAAACCTTAATTAATTCATGAGGACGAAATATTTTTAGATTTCTTTTGTCATAGCTGAAAAAATGAAATAAAATATTAAAAAATATGAATTGATTCAATTCAATCAAGAAAATTCAATGAAGTTGAAATTTTCACATGAAATGTTGATGAGTTTATGCTGATGTATGTGAAGTGGGTGGGTGCAAATTTTTACCCCTATAATTCTTAAATCCTTTTAGGTCATATTTAACATAAGAGTTTAAACAAATTTTCAATTTTTATTTTTTATATCTTTGCTAAATATTGTAGATATTAGAAATTGTATTTATGTGGATCAATACGACTTGTAATTATCTATTTTGTTGGCTTCTTTCTTATTCAGCTTAACAAAAAGAATTAATTAAAAAAGTAAATACAGTCTTCGACAAGACTAGCTGCTTCCTATGAAATATTACTATTTTGTATAATATTGAACTAATATTTCAGACAAATGCGTGTGATAATAATCTTTGATTAAAAATACCAATCCTCCTTCAATTGATTTACATTTACTAGAGTTATGCTTGTGATATTGTCTTATCACAACCATGCCGGTACAAATAATTTTGTTCAACCATTCATTCTAAAATCTACTGTTGTAGTTATTTCTAGTTTCCGTTCTAGAATAATTGAGATATCGTCTTATCATCATGAATGCCTGTTGAAGAGCAAATGCTAGTTGTTAGTGAAAAGGTTTTTTTTCTGTGATGACTAATTTTTTTGAAAATTCTAATCGAAAGCTTCTGATTCTCTATCAGAGTTGTTGAGTCTAAGTAGTGTAAAAAAGCTGCTTGTATAAGAATGCCTAGAAAGCCAAAATCTCACAAATCACTTTTCTGGCATTCATTTGATAGAACAAAATGAGATGTCTGCTACCTTTCTTCTTCAAGAAACATTTTTCTTTTGTTTTTAATGAAAAATTTCAATGATTTTGCTATATTTTTGATGCTTTGAAGTCTTCTGTAAATTGAATACAGTTCGATAAATGTAGGTTATGGAGAGAACCGACACATCTGATGTTGCTCTACAAACTAAAATCATTTGCAGATAGCTTCAAATGGATGCCAGAAAACTTGTTTACAATCGAAAAAAAAATTAAATTGCTGTAAACTTTTGTCTATCACTATAGACATATAGGATTGCCATTAGCATTCGAAAGACAACTCACTAGTAGTTTGTATGATAGTAAAACGATAAAAAAGTGCATATTTTTGCTGAATATGTTTTCCACAAGAGAAATTACTGGTGTAAACCAATAGATGATACGCTGGAGATTGCGATCAAAGTTTATCGTCCCAAGCATGCACTTAAAATATCAGTTCAATATCAAAAAGAACAGTTGTATTTCATGGGAGATGGCTGCTTTTGTTCAGGAGTATCAGTGTGCATTTGATACTTAATTATCATTTTCTCTGTATCTAGATGGACGAAGCGACTGTAGGTGAAGCTGTTCCATTAGTCTTTAAACCGAATCGTATTTTACCTAAATCTGATACACGAACTACATTTCAAAAAAATCTAGCCGTTAGTTTGATTCTATTAAGTGCTGGTCTTGAACGATTAGCATTCTATTCATTAGCTGGTAATCTTACTTTTTTTCTTGATTCAACAATAATTAAATGTAGATTTCCACATACTATCATTGCTCCACTTTTTTTTCTTGGTAAAAACAATTAAATAAAAATCTATTTGCGAACGAAAAAAATTTTTTTGTTTTTTTTTCTATAGGTACAAGTTATATTTCGGCATTAGTATTTTCTTGGATAAGTGATGGCAGGTTGGGACGGGCAAAAACAATTATTATCGGTAAATTAATATTTTTATTTTAGTTTCATAATATTCAAAGTTTGCCAATATAGGTTTTACTATATATAGTATCGGTTATATATTTATGATGTTATTTGCAAATGAACATACACATCGAAATTGGTGTCCCAAACCTGATAATAATACAAACATAGAAGCACCTGATTTTTTTCATGAACTTTGTGTTCAATATATTCTACCAACACTTATTTTTACGTAATGATAGATAATCTTTTTTCTTTAAATAAATTAAAAAAAAAAAGATATCTGTTTTGCATAGTGCTATTGGTGTTGGAGCAGTACAAGCTAATATGGCTGTATTTGGTGCTGAACAAGTACGAGAAGAAAAAAGTAAAACACGATATTTTGATATCTATTACGCAGCGGTCAATACAGGTGGACTTATAGCTTTTGGTGCTATTGCTTATATACAAATTAATAAAGGATATTTTGTTGGCTATTTAATTCCTGGTATATTACTTATATTGGCTTTTATATTATTTATTATTGGATATAAATATTATATTCATATAAAACCATATGATTCAGTGATTACAAAATTTATTCCTGTTGTTATAAATGCATTTCAATCATGGATAAATTATCGAAGAAATCGGCATGGAATAAGTAATAATAGTGAAATACATCCAGAAGAAACCATAGTAGAAACTGAAGGTGATAGTAATGATTATTTATCATTTACTATAAATAGATCAACATGGTCATTCTTTGATTATGCTAAAGTGGAGAATAATGGTCGATTTCCTAGTCGTATTGTAAATGATATTAAGTCACTACGACCTATTATTGTTGTATTTCTATTATTAACACCTTATTGGCTTCTTTATGTTCAAGTAATTTTCTATTTCATATAATTGATTTGTATAGAATTATCATTTACATAGGTTGAAACAACATTTATTGTTCAAGGTGCACATATGAAATTACCAACTTTTTTTAAAGAGATGCCTGTTGTTTGGCTTTCTCTTGGAAATCAACTAATAATAATTAGTAAGTAGTACTACCATATTTAGATTACAGTGATTTAGAATATTTTTTGAAGAATCAGATGATACGATTAATTATATAAAAAATAATGAGTGACTTAAAATGAACGACCGGTTTTTGTAGTTTTTCTTTTTTATCACTTACGATTAATATGTTCTACTCGGCGAAAAAACATATCAGAAGATGCAATGTAAAATACTCTACACATGTTGCAATAAAAACTTTATTTTCAAAATGAATCGTATTCTTTGTGAATATGATCATTTTTTAGCAAATAATTATTCGTCTTCTTGCATGTCAAATTATATTTAAACTTGATGCAATATTAACACATAAGAATAATATTGAAGTAGTTTTCTCACATGTACATTCTACCTATCACCAATAATATACGATCGGATAAAGTCAAAAAACTATGATTATGTTTGCAATGTCGAAAATCGATCACACAGAATTTAGTTTCATTTTAAAAATAAGAGTTTTTATTATAACTTGTAGAGCTTTTCACATATTCTCTTTTCGAATGAAATGTACCAAGAAATAAAAAGAAAAGCTTTAGAGAAAAAGAACCCGGTCATTCAGTCTGAATCACTCGCATTATATAAATTCTATTCTTTGAAGGAAAATAAATAAAAACACGAGGTACTTCATCTTAAAATACAGTTCAAAACTAATCCTTCTGCTAGCTGTTTGATTAATATTCAGACGAGTTAATTAGAAAACTGTAGAATAGTTCAAACTTTTATCCTACAAAAGAATCAAAATCGTTTAGCATCGAGATATTATCAAACACTAAGGAAAGTGACAAACAGGATTTAAGGCACGAAAATTTTACCATTGTAGGATACTACTTTTAATGTATGCTATTGATATAAAATATTTTGTTGTTTTCTATTTAATCTAGTCACTATTTTTTTTCTGAATGCATTTGTCTACAAACGTCTTCAAGCTAGTGGTCGAACATTTCCAATAAATACTCGCATAATTATCGGTCTAATCTCAGCTGCACTTTCTATGTGTATGGCAGGAACTGTCGAAATAGTCCGACAAAATGTGTGTAAAACTCAAAATTTTACACAAACTATTGGTATGTATTTTGCAATTTCATTTTCAGTGTAATTTGTTATTTTTTTAATTTTCTAGGTGATAAACAATATCTAGCTGCAAATATGAGTGTATTTTTTCAATTTCCACAATATGTTGGTGTAGGTCTTTCAGAAGTATTTACATCGGTTGCTAGTCTTGAATTTGCTTATTTGGCTGCACCACAATCAGCTCAATCATTAATAATGAGTCTTCGTTTTTGTGCAGCTGGTCTTTCATCACTATTTGGTTCGGGTATTGTTGGTCTTATGTCAATAGCAGTAAGACATAGAACATGAAATGAAATAGATAATATATATGATTTATGTTAATATGTTTTTTTTCTTTCAAATTTTTAGATTGGAAATCAAACGTCAGAAAATTATACTAATGATGAACGATATTACATTTATTTCTTTATTTTGGCTGGTCTTCAAGTCGTATTCGTATTAATTTTTATGGGATGTAATCAAAAATTTAAAATACTTAGAATACCTAATTATCGTCTCAATACACGTCATTTTATATTACCGAATTCAGATTCATCAAATGCTTGATTTATATATCTAGTTTGCTGTAATTCGTTTTGTTACATGATTTTATTAGTATAGTCTCGAATATAAATATTTTTTCCTTTGCTTCTATTTTTGAAAATATTTGTTTCTTTTGTTTTTTGAAAACATGTTCGTGTGATTAATATTGCTCATACATATGTAAATGTATTATATTCAAGAAATTTTTCTTTTCTTTTCCATTCAAAGAAAAATTTTCTATAATTCATGTTGAAATTTTAATATTGATGATTAATGAAGATGGAAATCAATATATATTATCCATTCATAGATAAAGGTACGGTATTCATTATAACAATTTCACATATATCATCATTTATTAAAATGTACATTTATCTTTAAATATATAGGATGCAATGAAAAGAGCATGTTTGTTATCAAAACAATACAGAAACTCAGTTTAACTAGTGTCCTATCCAAGGACATTAACTTTACAAATGTACTTAACATTTTTTTTTATAGATGCGTTAGATTATCCCAATAGAAATAATATAAGGCATTACCCTGTGATAGAAAGTTCGTGGAGTAAGGATAGGAATGTTCTAGTTCCTAGAATATGATGTCATAGCAGCAATGTACATGAAGTCGCTGCCAAATCTAATGAATTCAATATGACTGTGTTAATTTAGCATAGTGACGGAAGAGATTTTCATAGAATTCCTCGAACATCATCACACACAATTTCTTTTGTTCTATACGAAACTGCAATCAAAATTGGTAGAAACTTCGCATTTTATAGTTTTTATGTTTGATCAATGTCAACAGATTTTGAGATCAGTGTTTTGACATTAGACAAAATCTAAAACATAGCTTTGGAAAGAATATGTAAAACTAATAACGGTTCGATAATGTTCAAAGTTGGAAATATTCTAAATTTTGATTAGAAATTCAAGGTATTGGTTTATCCCTGCTTGCAAAAACACATGTCCAATATTGAGAATTACTAAACTTCTAGTGATTCGTTATACCAATCGTGATCAGTGTTAAATGCACTTTTCAAAATGATTCTTAGGTTTTATCTAATACTAAAACACCGATCTCAAAATCAGTTGAATCAGTGAAAAAAATAAAAAAATGACCAATTTCAAAACCTTTGTTTTGTACATTCTTAATAATAAGAAGAAAAATTGCATCTTTGACACTATGTTCTAGGAATCGGTAGCATCCATAGGGTAAGGGTTAAAGAATTTTTTTCAATCCGAGTCGTACTTCCTAACTATTGCGAATTTAAAAAAAAGCGTTCACCGAAATCTATTTGAGTCATTGTGCTGACTTCCTTTTTTCGTTCTTCAAATAATAAAGAAAAGATGTATGAGTATATTCTTTTTGTTTTTATATCTTATCTTTCTTAAACACTATTATAGATAGCTGAAATGCATACGACCAGAAAGATTATTTATATTGTTGCTTTCGTTTTATTATATATAATAGACAAACAATAATGTATTGTTTCTTTTCTTTCATATAATAATTCATTACCATTGTTTACTTGTTTAGATGGCTGATATAAGTGTTGATGAAGTATCTCCACTTATATTTCGTAATGCACATATTCCAAATCTACCTGATAATCGAACCACATTTCAACGAAAACTTTCTGTATGGTTAATTCTTTTAAGTGCTGGTTTAGAACGATTAGCATTTTATTCATTAGCGGGCAATCTTATTTTATTTCTCACATCAGATAATATTCATTGGACACCTATTCATAGTGTTACTGCTTCATTTATATTTCTTGGTAATAAGAATTAATAGTAAGAAATTTTTTTATTACAAATATTTTTTATCTTTTAGGTACAAGTTATATATCAGCACTTGTTTTTGCTTGGATAAGTGATGGAAAATTAGGTCGTGCAAAAACTATTATTATTGGTAATAAGATTTCATTTGTTTTCTAATGTTTAATTATTTTCTATAGGTTTTATTCTATATATTATTGGCTATGTATTTATTTCATTATTCTCTGACAAGGATAAGTTTAAATTGTATAGTACATTTTGTGGTAAAATAAATTTTACAAGTTCGATTAAAACAGAATTTTTTGAAGAACAATGTATTCCTCAAATTCTTTCAACATTAGTTTTTACGTAAATTTAATTGCTCATATATTAATAAAACAAATATTTCCATATCTTTTCATAGTGCCATTGGTGTTGGTGCAGTACAAGCTAATATGGCTGTATTTGGTGCTGAACAAATACGAGAACAAAAAGCAACACGAAAATATTTTGATAAATATTATGCTGTCATTAATACAGGTGGTCTTATTGCATTTGCTTTTATTGCATATGCACAACAAAATGATAGTTATTTCATTGGTTATACTGTTCCAACAGCATTATTAATCATAGCTTTCATATTATTTTTAGTTGGTTATAAATATTATATTCGTATTCCACCACATGATTCAGTTATTAGTAATTTTATTCCTGTTTTTATAAATGCTTTTCAAGCATGGAGAAAACATCAACAAAATCTACAAACATCAATTAGTAAACGAAGATCTTCTGAGTCTTCAACATTACTAGATTATCAAACTGAAAGTAATGATGAGTTATCATTATCAGCAAGTAATCACTCATGGTCATTTTTGGATTATGCCAAATTATCAAATCAAGGACGATTTATTGATCGTGTAGTAGATGATATCAAATCACTTCGACGTATTATTGTTGTTTTCCTTCTTTTAATACCTTATTGGCTTGTCTATTTTCAGGTAAACAGATGTTCACAATTAAAAAGAAAATTTTAATTTTATGAGAAAACTACAGTAAAAATTCTCTATGTAAGTACTTTCGAATACTGGACAGTTTACAGTCTAAGCAAGAAAATTTTGTTAGGAATGAGGAAAGGGAATAGACTTGCTGTGAATATTTAAAAGAAAAAAGAATATTAGATAACAGTAACAGTGCTCGGTTTATCATATCATCTGTTTCGTTTTTAATAACTACACAAAAGAACATCATTAATCAACAGTCACGGCATCTATGAGCAAGTATACTCCTGTTTCTGACTATCTCAACTGATACCCATCATTCTCAATACCATTGTTAGTGAGCATTCAGATTGTAAATCAATCTCTATTTCTTTTATAACTACTATGTATAAGTAAATATTCCAAACAGAAAAACATAAGAAATACATCACATTCATATACAAAAAAGTCAAGATAAGACAAGTATCACAGGTGCGTACAATGAGTCATGACTTCTGTTTGTTAACAGGTGTTACCTTTTTCTTTTTTTTTTTAAATAGAGTTAATAGTAGCGGGTCTGCATCTTTATATGACCAAAGTTATAAATACATAACAAATAAATATCAAAGAGCAAAAACAATCTTCTGATTTAAAAAGTTGAATAAATAAATTGTTGGTAAGAAGAAAAAGTTCACAATGTGCAGCTAATCAGCGATTATTACACTGAATAATACTTATAAATTGAAAAGAAAAAGCTGCAAACCTCTCAACAATAAGAACCTCCTATGATGAGTACTTGTGGTCAGTCCTGATGGTACTCACATGAGAAAAATTTTACTGTAAATTTTTTACAAGATATTTATTGTTTCATACATGAATGAAATATAAGTATATTCATTTAGATTGAAACAACTTTTCTTGTACAAGGTGTACATATGAGAATAATAAAAATTCTTCGTATAGACAAGAATGAACATTATATGCCTGTTATTTGGCTTTCACTTGGTGATCAAATAATTATTATTGGTAAGTTGTATAATGATTTAGTTTATGAAGTAACTCAAATAAGAAACAATATCACAAGTTAGTGAATTAAACGTCTTATGATGATTTCTTTGCTTGTCTTGTCAAATCTCAGTCAAAACATGATACGATTGTATCAGAAATGGCTGGATTTACATGCTAATATTTTTTTTAAATGTTATTTAAAACGAGTGTTGATATATATATATATATGAGTAAAAATCCTTCCCCGTCAAAGCTTGTGACAGAGTTAGTCACAGAACTTAACTCTTTCTTGCAAGTATTATAAACAAAGATAGAATTCAAAATAACATCTTTCATCAATCGAGTTTCTTGTTTTAATTGCACAGGAATTGCATGAATAGCTTTTAATTATTAAGACAAAAATAGAGAAATTTTCGATCTTTATCTTATTTGGTACTATTCTTCTTTTCATATATTGATATACTTGTATAATGAAATAAGATTAATAGTTATGCTTATCTTTTATTTAGTTACAATCTTTTTTCTCAATACATTCGTTTATAAACGTCTTGAAGCAAGTGGACGATCAATTTCAATAAGATCTCGCATTGTCATTGGTTTAATGTCAGCATCCCTATCTATGTGTATAGCAGGTACAGTGGAAATATTTCGTCAAAAAACATGCGATACATTACCAACTATTTCACAAACTATTGGTATACATCAAATCATTATATTTCTCTTTACATATTTGATTTTATAATGTAGGTAAAACAAATTATACAGCTGCTGATATGTCTATATTTTATCAATTTCCACAATATATTGGTATAGGCTTTTCAGAAGTATTTGCTTCAGTTGCTAGTCTTGAATTTGCTTATATGGCTGCACCACAATCAGCTCAATCATTGATAATGAGTCTTCGATTTTGTTCAGCTGGTCTGTCATCGTTTTTTGGTTCTGCTTATGTTGGTTTATTTGTAAAAGTTAACGAAAATCTCACGTTTGATAATTCAGAAGTAAGAAAAAGCAACGAAAAATATGTTTTATCATAGAATTTTTCTTGAAATTTTTTTCAAAAATTTATAGTGTAAAGCTCGAGATCAACCTGAATTATTTTATATCTATTTCTTTGTTCTTGCTGGCTTGCAATTCGTCTTCGTTTTAATATTTCTTGGTTGTGATCAACAATTCAAAATACTCAAAGTATCAAAACAAAGATTTAATACACGACTTTTTGTAGCACCAAATTCTCGTTCATCAAATACTTGATTATTTATTTGTTGAATTAAAATTTTTATTCATTTGTATTGTTTTGTATGTACGTTTAAGTTATTTGACTTTTATCTTTTCTCTCTTTTGAAGTCTTTAAGAACGTAATTAAATATAATAGAAGTACTGAACACACGATCTAATTGAAGTGTCATTACAAGCTATTCTGAAAGTCTTTAGACAAACATCGATATGAACCATTTTCAAAACATTATCATATAAATAGGCGTTACCGCCCTCGCCGTAGTGAGTGATGGTGGCTGTGGCTCTGAATGGTATTCTTCTTTCCTTCACACATGCTCACCCACAACCACGGTTAAACGTTTTAGAAAAAGAAGAGGAAAAATGATGCTCTGCTTGAGCAAAGCCAAAAAAAGCTCTGATTTTAAAGTATTTCGAAAACAAATGAATATTTCATGCTAGAAAAATTTATTGAATTTTCTTGTAATTCTTTAAAAAATGTAAGGGCATGATATTCTGATGAATGTCGAGCTCACTGAATCTAACCATCTTTTGAGGAAAATTCCGATGAGTAATTGATATACTCTTTAGTATGAATGTGAAGAAATATTATCGACAGAATTGTCAGCACTTACGAAAAACGCTCTTTATAGACTAAGATACTCTAAGATGATTCACACACAGTTTAAAAATGTATTCTTTTTTTATTTGTTTTTATAGAATCAAATAACAAGATGTTCGGAGTAAAGATACCTTTGGATTTTTAAGAAAATCTGTATAAACCTCATCATATAAGTCATAAACACCTTTATATCCTCGTGTACTTTTTCCATCGGACATAAATGGTTTTCTTATCGTAAAATGTACAATTTTAAAATCTGGTCTCAATGTTTCCCATAAATATTGTTTACTAGAATAAACAGCCATATTCATATTATAAACTGTTGGTAATTGTAAATAGCGAAGACGAAAAAATTGATTTAGAAATTCTTGTTCAGCCATGACAGTACGATAATTTCCTGGTATTATATATGTACGCATAAGTTCATTAAAAACAATTTGTGATGGATGAAGAACAAGTACACCAGCATTAAATTTATAAATATATGTTCCAAACCAATTATCTGTTGCAGCAGCAAATTCAAAACCAGTTCGCTTTGGTTCCATAACAAGTTCATGTAAATGAGAAAGATCATTTAAAACAACTGTATCACAATCAAGATAAACAATTGAATCAAATTGTGTCATATTCCAAAGAATTAATTTTGTAAACTAATATGAAATAATATATAATGATGAACAAAATTTTAGTACGGTTTTTCAATGATAAGCTCTAGGAAGAATCCGAAAAACATTGGATCGGTGGATTCAAAAATGTCAATAAAATTACTTGAATGACGTTGTTTGGAAAGTCAAGAGTTTCAAAACCAGTTTTTTGGCATTCATTTGATGAAGCAAAGTAAAATGGCTCCGCTCTCTTCATGATTCTTCTTCATCGAACTGCATTCAATTTACAGAACATCTGTCTGTTGTTTTTATGAAGAATTTCAATGGTTCATCATGTTTGACGAACCTTCTATAAATTGAATGCAGTTCGAGGAATGAAGGTCATAAAGAGAGACGAAACATTTTTCTTTTTACTCTTTCAACAAGAATTCTTCTTAGTTATTCCTACCGAAAAGAAAATTCAAAAATACAAAATGCTCTAAACTTATGTGCATCACTGCATTACATTGAAATTTTAACATAGAATATGTTAAGTCTTTAGCCTCTGTTGGGTAATTTTTTTGACTCATTTATAGAAACTATCTATTTGGAGTAGTAAGTAGACTTCCAGCTTTATACAAATGAAACAACAATGTAATTACAAAAGAATATACAAAAAAATCAAATTAAGAATAAATTTAATTGAACTATATCAGCGTCATAATCAGCATTCGTAAAATCTATTCCTATTGTTGACTCATCACTCACTCTAATGGATTAGTACCTAGTGGTAAATGGTTTATTAGAATAAGTCATAACGTATAAAAAAAAAGAAGACACCTTGAATAAAGTCTATGCATTGTATACATCTTTTATGTAATCTCTGTGTGGTCAATCTTATTTAGTTGTCTTCAATACAAATCATAACAAATTATCACTAGGTTTTGATAATGAAGAAAATATCAATTGAAAAATATTAAATGAAATTTATTCTGCATAATTAAAAACCTTCTTTTTAGAGTCAGACTTATAATTCATTGATAAATGTTTTCTAGCAACGTACAAATCGATTTCTTTCGGTACTTGAAAAATGTGTATGAATACTTGTCACTTACAGACAGTTATTGGAAAACTGTGGAATAGAAATTAAGTATGCAATCATACCATTCTGTTAGATTTTTTCCCTCTCATGAGTTTATGCGGCGTTCAGAAACGAAATGATATTCGTTTTTTTCTAACTTGACAGTAATCGATTCAAATTATGTGAACATGTATCGAACTCGCTGATAAAAATTAGTATCCGACGAAACATGTCTCTTTTCGTTTATAAATTGTGTGCAAGTTTCCATGATGAGCTTTTTCAGCAAAATTACATCGGCACAGTCTCATTAGAATTTTTTTCTGATTTCTCTACAGCGCGATAATTTATTAGCTAGAATATTGTATTAACGGTAACTGTTTCGTATTTATATGAGAATCCATCGAGTAGTTTATTATTTTGTTTACTTAAAAGTATGCAACTAGAAACTCGTGATTATTAGAAATTGTCGTTGAGAATAATTTCTATGAAATAAACATTCAATGTTTAGTAGCCCTTACAAAAGAATTTTTTTGTGAATTCTTACTTGATCAACATATTTTTTATTTGTACCAGGTACTGATGGAATTCGTTTAACATTCATTAATTTCCATCCAATTATTTGTAAAGCACACAGGGTTGTTTCATTGTATAATCTATCTTGAAAATAAAGCATATACATTGGATGATTTGGATGATATATTTGTATTGTATAACCAAGAATAAGTGCACCAAGTAAATAATTATCAGTATATAAAGCAGAAAAAAATGCATTTCGTGAATAATTTTTATTTTGTATAACTTTTTCATTTCTTATTAATAAGCCATTTTTAATAGTACACGATGGTGTATCATGACAAGCATATGAAGAACTTAATAATTTAGATGAAAAATCGGGTTGAACAAAAAAATACTCATAGAAATTTATAATAAAAATTGAATAGATAATAAAAAGAAGAAGATATAAAAGAATACGTATCCATGATGAACGAAGTTTTGTTGTGATATAAAAACGCTTAAAATTTCGTTGAATTTTCAAATATCGCGACATTGTTTCATTATCACTTGATGATGATAAACAATGACCATTAGAATGATCGAGAAATGCTTGTTTTTCATAATATTGATTATTTATCATTGAAAGAAGATCTAAATGAAAATAAAATATTTTGACATACGAATCGTATGTATTCTTCATCCATGTGTAAAACAACAAATATAATTAAGATTGACTGATTCAATTAAAACACGCTTAAGCTTATTTATCTATTTTTTGTACAGCGAAATCTGTTAATTTAACGGCTGCGTTACTTTTTTTCTTTTCTAGGGAATAAATTTTTCATAGGGTCGTTATAAATACAATCGTTTCAATTATTGATATAGAAAAAAAGAAAAGAAATTCATTTTATAGAATTCTATTTGATTAAATTCTCATGTCAAGTAAGAACTTCTCTCTTTTCAATTGTAATTTATACTCTTTGTACAGAGCATATAAATTTTCAATAGAAAAGAGAACAAAAAAAACCCGATTTAACGTTTTCAAAAATAAAAATCGTTTTCTTTTTTTCAGAGTAGAAGCACATTGAAATCAACTCTTGTATATTTGGTATTATATAGTTAAGGATTTCTATTTGCATTAAATCATCTTTATACAACAAATGACAACATCTCATTTATCAACGGTCGTTTCTTTTTTGATGACATGTCTTTCCAACGATTTAGGTCATCATGATTTGTCATTCTGAATTTAAAATCAAATGTTTATCTTGTTAATTAATTAAGATTATGATAATGATCAAAATACAATATATTAAATATTTGTTCATATCGAATATAATTTAAAAAAAAGAATAAATGAGAATACCGATAAAAGTAATTTTATTCGTAATGATGAAAGATGACAAAGTTAGCGTATCAGTGAACCTTGTCCTAATAATATGATGAATAGAGGAAAATGTATTTTGAACAATATAAAATAACCTTATTATGCTTGTATATATATATTATAAATGATGGTGTTAGTGAAGACGACATGATTTTAATACTAATGTTTTTCTAGGAACTTTTATTGACAAAATAAAAGAAAATGAAATTTTTCTCTTAAATGAGAAAAATTGATCCTTTTTTGGTCAAATGACCTAAAATATCATTTGAATTTGAAGGATAACTAGGGGTGGAGAAAAGTGGCGATTGTTGAGAATTAGAATTATATGGATACGATGGAAGATTGTGTTGTATATTTGCTGAGAATGATGGTGGTCGTGGTTGAGACGGTTGTTCTTTATTACCAGTAAATAAAGAAGCTAAGGATGATGAAGGATCATTAGAATGGCTAATAGTTGATAATGGTGTTTGTTGAGAATTTCCAATGACAGATGTCACATTTGGGCTAGTTTCAAGTAAATAAAGAGCATGTTGAATACTCTCCAGATCTGCTTCAGTAAGTACAACTGCTGAAGAAGAAGTCAAAGATGCATAATCATTAAATGAAGATGATGGATCATTGCTTGAGTTCATTAATTGAGGAGATGTCATGTTTTCTGGATACGAATGAGATATGGAGTTAGTGACTTGTGAAATTGGTGCA